GGCACTGGAACAGGTTGCCCAGAGAAGTTGTGGATTCTCCATCACTGTTCAAGGCCAGGTTGGATTGGACTTTGAGCAACCTGGTCTAGTGGAAGGTGTCCCTGCCCGTGGCAGGGGGTTGGAACTACGTGATCTTCATGGTTCCTTCCAACCCAAACCATTCTATCACTCTGTAATCTCTTCGTCTTTATTATAAGCAAGCTGTTGCATGCTACCCGGCAGTTACAGTTATGAACAGCGAAATTCTCTGAAGGAGGCAGCTTTGTAGTAGCTTCCTGAAGAAAATACCTACGATTTCCTTCTGCAGCCCCAATTGCTGCAAATTGTGTAATAAATACAGGGTTGGTTTGTTTGTTCTTTTTAAAGAATGTTTGTCCCAGATACTTTGAGAGTTGTTTTTAAATAAACATCGGGGAGGGGGGGAGGGGAAAGAAGAAAAAAAAATTAAAAAAAAAAAATCACAGGTACTTTTGGACACTTCTGGCCTTGGCTAACAGAAAGAAAGAGGACATGTAGAGAAACATTAGCAGAGCTCACTGGAAGTTGCAGGATGACAAACCACATTGTTCAGGTTCTCAGCCCTGCCCCTTTACACAACCAACACTGTAATGGGAATTGGTACCTTTTCTTCCTTCCACCCACTCTCTCCCCTAACTTTGCCTCAAATGCAGATGGGCAAGATAAGGCTACCAACTGTCATTAAAATCTCCAGTACTTGATTGTGGTGAGTCACTTCACCAGCCTTTTTAGCTGCTCACTGTTCTGCCCAAAAAGTGGAAGACAGCCTCCTGACCAGCATCAAGAGGCCCTGCTGGAAGAACCACCATCCCAGGCAGTTATGCTGGCTTAAAGTGTGGTGAAAGCCAGAGACCAAGATGTCATTCTGGATCCTGCCTGAGGCACAGACTCCACAGTGTGGGATAAGATTACACTTCCACACCCCATGCAGTACCTGTTTTGTACGTATACAGTTTCACTTTCCAGGACTATCAGCTTAATGCCCTTGAAGATGCCAAATTCCCTTTTCTTTCAGGTATTTTAAGTTTCTATTTGGGTATAGGCACATGGGAACAAAATAACAACTGAATTAAAAATTAGCCAATCTGAATTTAATAAGATATATTTATTTTCCTAATACATGCAGAACATTGAGACTAAGCACATAAAGAGTCATGTTACATAAAGGAGCTTTCTCTCTGGATGAACAAACCTTACTTCTGAAAGCATTACACAAAAACATAACTATACATGGAACAGCAGCAAAATACGCTGGTAATCACAGACATCACTACCATGCACCAACGGACTGGAAAAAGCCCTTCAAGACAGCAAAGAATCAATCTTACTGTTCAGAGACCTAAAGCATGTGTGCCTACCTTTGTATTAACAGCAGTACCACTTAGCAGATTAGAGGTATGCTCCACTATCAGTTTTAAATAAGCAGGCAGGTGAAGGCCTCCACTGGTAGATTAGTTTAGATTGTTTTCATTAATTTGCCATATATCTCATAAGACAACCATTTCTATTATTATTCAAGTTCATAATCCAGAAACACAAGCATTACTTTTCTATGCTCCATAACTTTAGAAACAGCATTATCAACAGTCTGAGAAGGTATTCGCCCCCAGGAGGAAGACGAGAGGAGGCATCACTTAATTTCATATAATTAAGAGTTATCAAGACTACATCCAAGGTGCACAAAGTCAACAGGGCAGAGGAGGGAAATGCTAAGGGGAATTAAATTGCTTGTGCCTGAATTCAAAGAACAGCTGAGGCCAAAGTTCACACACAGAGGATGGATACCTTTAAGTAAACACTAATCTACCTGGATGTATCTTTGTGATTTACATGAAGAACCACATTCACCCACTATCTTCAGTCACAGAAGTAATCCTTGTTTTACAGCACAAGCTCTAAGGGAACACTGAAGCTGTTAAATGTGTCGTTCTGTGCCTGTTTTGTCTGGTTTCTTTGTGGATATAGTTGCAGAACTGCTAGAAAGCTGATGACTAAAACCAAAACCAATTCAAGTACAAAATAATCTTCTGTAAGCTCATACAAATTGTATTCAAAGAGTGTGCTATGTAGCAAATTCTTGTATGTTATAATGGGAGAGAATAGAGGCTGTTAATATAAGTAAAAAAGGTAATTCAAAATAATTATTATTTGCACTGTTGTACTATGCAACAGCTGGACCTCAAGACCCTGCAATAGCAAGTGCTATAGAGACATGTAACAAAAATGCAGGCCTTGTCCCAAAGACAGGAGGAGGAAAGGAAATTAAAATATTTGGTGAAAAAGCAGTGAATACAATTCACGTCAAAGGACAGGAAGTATCAGGAGCACGTGGGTACAAAGATCACTGCAGGCTTTTTAATAACTCCAAATAAAAAAACCCCTTTCATTTCATTATTTGTTTACACTGGAGGAGCAAACTCATTGCCTACTAGACTTCAGACTATAATACAAACACAAGAAAAGAAACGGCTGATATCAAAATCAATTTACAGAAAATCTCACAAATGCTAGCCACTTTATGATCCACATAAATGTTTCCCAGATGACAAAAACAACTCTCATACAAACACTAATCAAGCCTCAGTATTCTGAGAAGACCTGAACTACCAAAATGTTGATTATTTTAAAACTTGTGATGATATTCAAATATCCTTAATGGAGGAACACGCTGCTTTATTACTTTCAGTATTAGATCCATTAAAAACCTCTTGGGCTTTGAACTGTTCTGCTGTACAAAGACAAGGTCCGGCATGGTTATAGAAATGGCAAATGAAGAAGACATAGTCCACCTCCCATAAAGATAACACTGACTTAGTATGTGCTGGGGGGTGAGGGGGAAACCATCTCAGTGGGTGCTTGCTAAGCAAACAGGACAGGTAAAGAACTAAGATAAACACTGTAAAGTAGCACCAGAACAACAGACTCTAAAGACTCAAGGAAGCCTCACATGGGTCTATCCACACACCTTGTGTTTCTGCTCAGATCTGCACTGGAATGACCTTGTTCAGTACCATGAAGGGAAGGGAGAACACCATCCTGAAGACATGCATTCTCCTTGACCAGGCATTCTAGCTCTAACCCATCTAGCCACTGATAACACATTCAAATGTACAGAAGGGTAAATAACTACATGTATCAGTGTGAAAATGATGTTCTATAAACATTACGAGCCATTTTAAATCTTTAGTAAAAGAAAAACAAATGAGTACACTTCCAAAATATTTTTTACAGACTCCTGCATTACTTCTCACTAGGAACATTCAAGGTAAGCCACCAAATTTTTACCTTATTAAAACTACATGCACTTGTTAGTTTGCTGTCTGTGCTTCTGACCATATTTGTCTACTTACATTTCACAGCTACAAGGTGTGTGGGGGGAGAAACTGGATTTTCAGTTACAAGAGAGGCAAAGGATAAGCACATCTGTAAAACCGCTGCAACTAGAAAACACTAGCTAAGTCAGCAAGAAATTTTACCCTGGGAAACTATCAGTGTCATTGAACAAAACCAGGAAAATTGTTGATTCTTAGATTCTTAGTTTTGTGGACTGTTGACTCTGGAAGCCATCCAGTAGGTGCTAAAGGAAAGCAATATGCTTCTTAAAACATTAAAAACTTGGTAACCTCACACTAGTTTGTATCTCCACTTTATATGGGCAGTTTCAAATACAAAGGAGAGCAGGTAACTATGTACACAAGACCCGAACGCATTAGGTGCATTAACAATGACTAGCAATATGTATTTTATCACGTCACTCAAATCTGTCAGGCTCTTTACCATACTGAGGAAAACAAAGTACAAGCTGCACATGCAAAAAAATCTGAGTTCTGAATTTGTTTGTAAAAGCTACCAAGCTATCCTTTTCCTTTAAGAAAAAGAAAATAACCAGTTAGCTATAATGATTCGGCTCTAATAAATATACATACTATAAATTTGCTATTTAAATGTTGGCTAGCCTCTCCTGTTACATGGTAGAATGGTAACATCTGAAATTTGAAACACTGCCTAGAAGCTACAAAGTAACATTTGTTTTGTAAACAAACAAACAAACAAATCTGTTACAATTTCGCCCCCATCCTGCATAAGACCACAAATAGGAGTGTTCATTTAAGTGGAATTCCTTGATCACCAAAAAGAGAATAAAAATTCTAATGATCAAACTTAAAATTCCAGTCACAACTGTAAGGTGCAGGATCCCTGCCAGACCCACAGAATTTAAACATGAAGAGTCATGCGGGAAACATTAATTACATGACATAAGATAGACAGGGGCTACATAGGCTTAACAGACCTCTGTTATAAACCAGTAGCCATCAATCAGCATGCCTCCACCATTACCACTCACCTTAAACACCATAAATATTTTTCTTTAGCAGTTACAGTTTGTTGGGTTTGGGGTTTTCTGTGTTTATAGGTGTTTTGTTGCTTGGTGTCCCTCCCCTACCCCCTCCTCCTGACATACCAAAGTCAGCATATTTGAACAATGTGTATTTTTCTATGCCAAAGGCACACTGCCCCTTATGCACATGAATGGAAGTATAGCTTATTTTACATTGTCTTTGGCAAAGCTGCCTTCTGTAACAGGCAGCTTTCTGTATTCCCCAAGCCCACAGTCACCTGTCTTTTTAAATAGGTATTTATTCAAACTGTGCACAGAAATAAAAAAAAAAAAACCACACAGAAATTCACTGATATATTTCTGATGCAGGACCCTTGTCCCTACCAGAAAAAAATGGGGTTAATAACTAAGAAGTATTTTTTGATTCATATCTGAAGCAGATGATTGCATAACAAACCAGGGGGGTTAAATACAGGCATGTCTCATGCACAGTGCATTTGTGGGTGCCAATATGCACTGCCAAACTGCACTAGTCACTTACAAACTCTATAGCACACAGAAGAGCTAATAAAAACAGAAACTGTGCCTGCTGTCCAGCGTATTTCACACACATTCCCAGTCACGATGCAGAATCACAACATACCTTTCAGTCTTTTGGAATTCTCATTCTTTTGCTGCTCATCCTCTTCATTAATGGTGAATAAACCCAGGGGATTTGTCCTGGCACTTTTCTTCAGTCTCTCTTGTCGTAGGGCAGTAGCTGAACCAGACATGTTGCTGTTGCCTCTTGCTTATTAAGAAAAAAAAGTAAGAAACTCCAGCCCCTACTCAGCCGCTAGCTGCGACACTGCCTGTTCATTTGAGCACTTGTAATAGATCCCCTATGGATAAGCAGTATGCAAACAGCTGACAAATACCAACATCCAGTCGGCAGCAAAAGGCTTGCAAGTCTTTCCCCACCTTCAAGAAAAGCCCTAATTAAAGGCACTTTGGTTTGGATGCTGCTCGTCACTGTCTTAACCTGTTCAATCAGATCCCAGCCCACAGCTCTGGGTTCCTTGCTGCAGCACCTTCCTCCTGCAAGCCTCTTCCAGCTACAGCAGACTAAAATATTCAGCACGCAACACAAGAGAAGAAAATATGATACGCTGCTGTTAACAGTTGCCCTGACAACACTGACACATCCTAATCAAAGGGGGTCTATGAGTGTTGTCTCCTCAGCTGCAGCAAGCCGGCCTTGGGAACGCCAGCTCCTGCACGCTTGCAGAGAGCTGGGAGCACCTCGGCAGCAGGGGCTGCTCCTTCCTCCTCACAAGGCAGCAGGAGGATGGAGCTGTGCTTGCACAAGCAGATGAGCACTGAGTGAAAAGAAGCCTGGAAGGCTCCAGGCATGAATCTGCATTTTGCCAGCTGCTCTGTTTATTCATGTTTAGAAATATTAGCGTACTCTAAAACTAAAACAATGAGGATGAGTTGTCATCTTCTATATACGAATGTGCTGGGCGTTTCCTCCCCCTTAACTCAATCACCTTCTTATGCAGTGCATACCTTCTGCATTAGGAATGCATACACCCACAATTACAGGCAGGTGTTGGAACATTCTTTTCCATGTGTGAAAACTAAAAAAAAAAAATAAAAAATCAGGATTTCTAGCTTGTACAGAAAACAAAAGGACTTTTGGACTGAATATTCTGTACCACACCATTAGTTTTATAGCACCAAAGATTAACATTCACTTTGCAAAATAAACAAAATGCAAACAGCCTGGGTGGTTTTAATTAGTTGGATTTCCTTCATATGCTGGATTCTAGATTTTCTTTAAACCATTTATGACACAGCAGTTGCTCACAAGTTTTGCAATCTGTACGTTCCATCCTTCACAGCTCCAAAAGCCACTATGCAATATGCTGGGTGTTTTACCTGTGAGACCTTAATCTTCATCCACTTCCACCTCTCTAATTCAGTGCGTGCTTACTATTTAAAATGCTACTGAAGAAAAACTGCAAGCCAAAACATTTCTATAAAGTTACAAGATTCCCCCCCCCCCTTTTTTTTTTCTTTTTTTGAGAATCTGAATGTAACCTGATCAGCCACCACAAGATGGCATATATATTAGCTGACAAGTCTGCAGGTGGCTCATTGAAAATACAGGATTATACAGATGTATATGATCACCTCAACAGCACAGGTAACAATACTGAAGAAGGGTCAGCGTTTAAAACAGTCAACGTGCTATGTATCACAGTGCCCTAGGATGCCCTTTACAGAGGGCTCCTGGATCGTGCTTAGCTGGCAAGACAGCTCTGCTCTCGCATACCTTAGGCTCATCAGCCAGGAACCCAGTGGATGGAGAGGAACACAGCACGACCTGAAGGCTCAGCGGACTATTCTTTCTTCTTCAGCATGGGCACAAAACACACAACCAAAACAGAAGTATTCTGAAGTAGAGCACCAGTTCTGAACCAAGCCCACAGTCCACCTCCAGTACGTATTTCCTCCTCTCCTGGCTACTTCCTACCACTTGGTTACACCTTGGACTCTGGGCATATGTGGAGGCTATACATGACGTTTGTTTATAGTTAGACACTTTGTACTAAAGGGCATAGACAGTAAACGTAAAAAGAATAAGAAAAAAAGCTCCAATACAAGCTGTTTCTTTAGTTCAGTAATTTGCATTCTGGGGTTTACAGAGGCTACTTCTTTGTCCTGTAAGAGAAACAGCACCATTCCTCAAACCCCATCCACTTAATGCCTACAACAAATACTACATAACAGCACACACATAGCCGCAAAGAGGACTGTAGTTGGTATCATTAATACTTTTCATGCATGCCCAAGACTGTTGCCAAAAGAACAAAGGTAACAGAAAATAACACTTACATGGCAGTTTAGTTAAATATCACTCCGCTCCCTTTCAGTGTTAAGTCATTAAGAAAGGATTCCTGCCCTTTTAAACATTATTCAGTCAAATGCCTTTAATAGCTAAACTACCTCCGTAGGCATTTTAAATCATATAACAAGTCTCTAACAAAAATACATCTAACTGGAGTGGCTTCTGAAGAGGCTTTCAGACTCAAAGGTTTCACAACCCTTTCAGTGTCTCCATTTCTTTATTATCTGAGGAGTCATGGAGAACAGCTGAGAAAGCCTCCCTTGGCCCTTGCAGGATCCCCTGCAACCATAACAGTGACTTGCTCTGAGTACAATACATAGTAATGACTAAATTTGATGCTCCAGAGGCTGGTGAAGGTGGATTTTGGTTATGACACACTGTCAACGAGGCACTGATGCGTATTTCTTTCTGCTTACTAATACAGAGGAAAAGGATCAACAGTTCGGCTTATGCAGTGCAATTTTATTTCAAGGTCTCTGTGGCTAAAAACTGTGACAGCCCACATTTCCAAATGTCTAATAAAATGGCACCCTAGACACCTGCAACCTATTACAAGTAAAAAAACACCTATTACAACAGAAGATACCTCAGAACTTTAGGTACTTAGGTTTAAAAAAACCCAAACCAATCAACAAACAAAATCCAAAACCAAAACAAACCCCCAACACCCAACTTCTTAATAACACTATTAAACAACGTATAAAAATGTACCAATCCTACATATAACCAGATAGTATTGATAAATACCCTTCCTCTATCCATTAGTTTAGGGAAGAAATTCCTGAGGCATCCCTAGCAGGAAAGTTGTGCTTATTTCAGCCTTACCTCAGCTATGTGGGAGCTTCTATATGAAAACTGGAATGAAAGCAATATGCCCTTGAGGGAATAAAAGTGGTGGATAATTTTAGTAGCAAGGATGTTAAATTCTTTAAAAAAAATAAATAAATAAAATTGCTTACACAGCCCCTATTAGTGATTTCCTCCCCTAAACCACGACTCGTACTGTGTACCAATACAATCACAGTTCAGCTCTTACTCATGGGGTCAGATTCTCCCAAGACATGAGGGCAACACTATCTTGAGAGCACTGGGTAATTTTTGGGTTTTCCTTTTTACAACAATTTCAAACTCGTTATCAGTCAAACCACTACACTTAAACACACCCACTTTCATTCAGTGGATTCTACAGGTGTAATTACCTGCACAATCTGATATGCAACAGACTTAATCAGCAGTTTGAACAGGATCTATCAGGATAATTATATTGTGATCTGGGTAATGTAAATATTTATAACAACGTGCTAATTGATGTTTCTGCTTTAACATCAGGTATTAAGGCTTGATACCTCTACCTAGTAAATGAAAAGCAAGTTGAAGCCAGTCACCAGAATAGTAACCTACATGCAGTCTGCTATGGGTAACCTGATAATTTTTAGCGGCTGAACTCCAGATTTGCCATCTTCTTTCATTCACGATTGTTTCAATCCCTGTAAACTACTCAAACACTACATGAAGCTCATTGCTGTGGTTTAGCATATAATGAGTTGCACACGATAAGCTCATGTTCTACAGCAACTGCCTTACAAAGTGCTCTGCCAGTCTGAGCTTGCTGAACTGAACCTTTTTGCTCTTTCACAGGGAGAAGGGAAGACAAAAAGGCAGTATTCAACACGAGTTAGCCAACTAGCAAAAAGGAAAAGTATCTTGTCTTTGCAAGGCTTTATGTCTTTCGTAAGAGTTGGCAGGCTGTGCTAACTAGGACTGTATGTTTCCAAGAAAAAAACCCCAACAAAACCCACTTGATAAAAGATGGCTTCCAGCTAGTGTCATATCACTGGACATGTCAGGTTATATTACAGAAAATCAAGCCAGCTGAACGCAGGATCATATACTATTGCAAAAAGGACAAAAGAAATTTATAAACAAATTGCTTATGAAAAGCCCTGCAAACAGAAGCACTCATAAGACATTGTTGAATCACAATATACATATTTTTTTCCTCCCACTCCATGAGACACCCCTATGTTTATCAAGCCACATTTTACAGGAATGTCATGGTTTTCTCCTGCTATTTCCTTTGCATAAGAGCAGTTAAAATGCTGTTTTAAAAGAACACCATACCCGAAGAGCAAGCAACCAACAAGTCAGGGTTTGACAGGAGAGCCAACCCTCCTCCCTTGGAAAAAAAATCCCAAATAAACAAAACCCCTCAAAACAATAAAAACCCCCACACCTGAAAAAGGCAAGAAAACCCCAACCCCTCAACAATTTCAGGCCTAACAAGCTCTCAGTCATAACACACAAAAATCTACTGTCTGCCAGTACTGTGAAAACCAGCTATGCCCATCCACTGGAGAGATCACTGCAGCCTTTAAGGTCCCCTTCATCCCCACTGCCAGCCAGAGCAATTAAAAAATAATAAAGTTCAAGGCACAGATGCATCAAAAGTCAGTTTCAGATGTCAGGGCAGCCTGTTCACCACTGCTCGCTCTTCTGACACAAGCACTCCAAAGCCTGAGGTAAATTATACTCTCCAGCCTTAGTTTCTCCAGTTATAAGATGAAACAAAACCTTCAGAATTCTTCTGAGAGAACTAACTGGTTCTTTAAAGATACTTTTCTATTTTAAAATACTTTGTATGACCTTGCTGTGAGAAGAGCTACCCAGCAACTATTCAACTACTGAAACACTAGAGAGAAGAAAAGTTTGGACTGTGAAATGTGAAAACCACAAGCTGAATAGAGAAGTCACAAATGGTGCTTTAGTGCTTTCAGAGCATTATTCACAATCCTTTCCTTATCCTGTTCTTGAGTTTTATCAAAAACTGCTAACAGCTGAAGATCATTTTCTTGTAGGGTATAAAACAAAAAACAAAGCCAA